TATTTATAAAAGTTATTCTTATCGAGGAGTCGAGCTCTTGAGCGTTCCCTTGAGCATCAGCATATCATCATTCATCATCCAAAATAAAGTATGGAATTCTATGCTATGTCTTATTCCTAATAATTATTGTGATATTATTGTTGTTGTATGTTGTATGAGTATCCTAACCTGTGAGGGGCATTGAGATATAACCCTGTCTGTGATGGGCAGCGCCTGTGAGTGGCAAAGCTTTTATGACCTTGCCTGTGATGGGTAGTGCCTGTGGGAAGTAAAGCATGTATAACCCTGTCTGTGAGGGGCAACGCATGTGAGGGGCATTATGATCAGTTTATTCATGTGTCATACTAATGTCATGGTATTGGTTAATTATTCTAAAAAATTGCATAGTATAGTCTTCAAGTGAGCTAGTTGTTTTGCTTACCCCCTACAATTATTATTTTCAGGTTGAGCAGCTGTCAGTGGACATGGGAGGGCAAAGGTGATCAAAGAAGTATGTTTGTTTATGTTTCAACAAACTTTTACAAACTTGTTGTTTGCTATTTCATGTTTTGTGATTGAGGTTGAGTTTGATGTTTTGAGACTAAGTTATTTCGATTAAGACTAAGTATTTGAACGTTCTACTATGTCTTGATTGTTTGAGAAACAAGTAAAAAGTATGAGAAGTGATTTCCCTAAGAACCTAAGTGTAAGACTTAGGTTACGTTTTAAAGAAAAGAAAGGAAAGAAAAAAATTATAAAATTTTGAAAAAAAAAAGAGTTTTCAGTAGTGCCCGAGAAAAGTTTTAAAGTTGAAAGGTTTATAAAAATTCAAATTATTTAAAAAATTGTAGCATCTTCTAGAGATAAGTAAGCGGACGCTACAAAACAGGTATCACACTTGGTAAATCAAACAAACAAGTATAGAATGCATATGGCCGTTTAATCTCTTACGAGTTAAGAGAAAGATCAATTATTGAGGTCTAGATTATTTACTTGGTCATTATAAAATAATCTTCTCCTCCGTATGTTTGTTCAATACATTCGAGATTTACCAGTATAATCCGTTAGTCAAAAATCAACTAACTCTAAAATCACACTACAATTTTTCACGACAAATGTTAATTCCGTCTAGGCCGTGAAAAAATATTTTATATTGACCTAAGAGATAGAGACGAGAACCAGACTAAGAAAATCAAAGATATTGGAGTGGAAAGCGCAACTCGCTAGCTCATTCCTTTCCTCCAGGCTTTCCATTAAAGCTATTCCTTACCATGGCTTCTTGACTTAGAGCTTTCCCGACACGGATAATATGATCTTTCTGTTTGACACATCGAACCTTATTATCTACAATGTAAAATGAAGAAACTACACTTGGATAAATAAATAAACTGCAAACACACATATACTTGACTAAAACACGAATCTCGTTCAAAATGATATTATCAAAAACTGAAAGTCGGAACTTTTATAGTATACCCTAACAAATCTAAAACCCACTCACTATGTATTAATTTAAGAGTAATGCTATAGGTACATAATATTGTACATAGGGGTGAACATAACACTTACATTTAGTGAGACCTATCAAAATTAAAAAATCAAGTAGACCCCACTCCATGTGCGTGTTATAATTTAATACAGTCCTATCCCTAGAGATGTTAAACGGGCTAGTCCTAGCGGTTTCGGGTTAGCCATAGCGGGCTTCGGGCTAAACGGTCTGGGCCTAAAAAGCCCGAATTTAAACGGGCTACCAATAAAAGGACTTAACCCTAACCCTAGCGGGCTTCGGGCTAAACGGGCTATGCGGGCTATAATAATAATAATAATAATAATAATAATAATAATAATAATAATAATAATAATAATAATAATAATAATAATAATAATAATAATAATAATAATAATAATGTATCATAAAATATCAAAAATAAAAATAAAAAAATATAAAAAATTACAACGACTAATTAACGACTGTTTTCAACGGTATTTAGTATTTGCCGCTCTATATATACAACTACACATTATATATGAGCATACACTACAAACTCTTAAATAACATTTTTTTTTTCAAAATAAAAAATATTCGAATTATTACTTACAATTACCATTTTACTACTTATTTTGTACGCTTTGAAAATTTTTATGATATTATATCATTATAAATTCTATCACTACGTTTCATGTGTTAGGTCTTTATCTCATGTGTTTTCTATTAATCGTTCTGATTGACTGAAATTTTTTAGTATGAAGTATGTTGGTATGGCTCATATATTGACAAAGGAAGAGGGCAGGCTGATGCCTGCGAGCGTAACGGAGCGAACGTAGCGAGGGAAGCGGAGCGACCGAGCGAAGTGAGCGGAGTGGATCTTTTAGTATAAATACATGGTGTATTGATGTATTTGATACGATTGAGAATAATAAAAGATCCCTCAGCCGCCGTGGACGTAGGCACATTGCCGAACCACGTAAATCTTGTGTTGTTTACTTTTCTCGTTTTTTAATTCGTGTGCCATATTGTCATCTTCTCTCAACAGAGTACAATAAGAATATTGTTAATAATTATCTTTCAAAATCATTATAATTCGTTACAGCTCATACTCATATGTGAAGTGGAATAACAAAATTGTAATATACAATGAATCTAAGAGCATATTACTTGCTGCAAACATTTACAACGACCAACTCAAGTTAAACGGGTCAGCCCTAGCGGTTTTCGGGCTAGCCCTAACGGGCTTCGGTTTAAACGGTTCGGGCCTAAAAAGCCCTGATTTAAATGGGCTACCAATAAAAAGCCCTAATCCTATTTTTTTTTCGGGCTAAATGGGCCGGCCCGTCGGGCCAAGGACCGTTTAACATCTCTACCTATCCCTAAGAAAGAAAACAAATGGGGCCTAAAAGAATTCATTTATATTCCCCTTAGCCCATGTAGGGCTGCAAACGAGCGGAGCCGAGTCGAGCGGATTGAATTATTTTTTAGGTGCTCGAGCTCGAGCTCGAGCTCGAGCTCGATTTTTGGTGCTCGAGCTCGACTCGATCAAAACATACAATAGCTCGAGCTCGACTCGAATTCATAATGTTCGAGTTCGGCATGAATTTTTTCAAGAAATTTTGTAAAATAACCATTAATTACATATATATATATACAAGAGTATTTTAGTAATTTCACATATCTATATCTCGATCCGCTCACGAGCCGTCGACAATGCAATATATGGGCTCGAACTCGACTCGAGTTCGTGCTCGAGCCGCTCGAGCTCGACTCCAGATCAGTCAAACTCGAGCTCGAGTCGAGCTTTGACTCGAGCGCTCGCGAGCGGCTCGCGAGCTGCTCGACTCGTTTGGAGCCCTAAGCCCTTGGGCTACACAGTATGGATAATGGATGACCAACTATCTCTAGGCCTTGGTCCAGTGCATCGTTGAAAACCAAAAACGACGCCGTTTGGTGCTTCCGTCTTCTCTATTGTTGCAGCAAGTCAGGGTCACATCAGATTGAGGTTGTCTCCCTCGGACAGAGTTTTCCCCGTACTGTGAAACGACGTCGTAGGCGTAGCTTCACCACACTAGACACTAGTCATTCCTCCAGCACGTCACGTGGAATCCCAGCCTCACGTGGCTAAATAAACTCAGCCACTGATACTCCATTATTGGTTGCAGTTTTTTTTAGTTTTTTTCTTCTTTTTTTTTTTA